CTTCAAGGCTTCAGGTCGTCACCAGGCTTCAATGCTTCAAGGCTTCATGTCTTCAGAGGAAAGTCACCCGGGATTGCCAACACACTGTATGAATCCTACAGTGTAATTATACAGTATGGACTTGACACTGTGCTGCTGGAAGACGCCCTTGTTGAGAGTATGTTCAGAGCTGAGTGGATTGCATAGAAACAGTAGTAGCATCGTAGTGTGTAGCAACAGTCATACCAACATGATATCTGGTGAGGTATCTTTGCCGGTGTCCCGCGGGCAGAGCAAAAAGTAGGCCTCGCGAAGATGCAATCCTTTTGGAATGTGAAAAGGGGGTGTGACGCTTTATTTAGCTTTTTAGGCGGCTGGAGATCTCATGCATCCCTCGCTGGGCCTTGGGTTTCCAGATGTATTCGTTGCACCACACTCACTAAGTCACTAAGTCCATTACAAATACAGGGGCCCAAGAAAGGACGAGCCAATGTGCAAGTCCATCCATATCCCCTCCTCCCCTCCTGAGGCAGCCACACGACTCTGAGCTGCCAGCGAGGCGCTCCATGTCTCCAGCATCTAAGCCTGTCCCAAAGCAGATGACCGAACATCCCCGTGCACCTCGAGAGCGGTCTGCAGACAGAATGTGATTTGGCTATAGTTGGCTGCGGATGTGGATGGGTTTGTGAAGTGGGACCCTGACTGTCAGTATTGTGTGCATGCCAAGAAGGGTAATTCCAAGGGCATTGAGATCAGGTCAGTAAGGTCATGATGTTCTTTTGGCGGGACTGCAATGAGCTTCTGAAGCGTGCGGCTGGGTGCGGGGTGGAATAATGAAGCTTCCACTTTACGACATGCTGTCGATAGCTTTTTCGGCCTGCTTTTGATGAAGAACATTCCAAGTTTCTGGTGTCTCAGCTTTTCATAGGCCTTTCCGAAACAAAAGCAGATAAACGGAGGTTCGAATCTGGGCGCGTTCTTCTTTGTGCGCAAGGAACTGAACCTCCTTCTCCAGACTCTGAGTTCGGGGTTGCGAAACATAGCCAAGAAACTGTTCAGCTTAGGCCTGACCAAGATCCAGGCGCAAGCCAAGCGAGTTTTGGCGGGTGGATTTCAGAGTTGCTCCTAGTCTCATGACTTCAAATGCTATGCGTTATTGACCTGTTGAAACAAATCAGAAGACAGCTAGAAACCAGCTATGAATCCTGGAACGTGTGTTTAATTCATGACGTCGACGGCGGCCAAATTTCATGCAACTCACATGGTGCAAGTGCAAGTCGCGGGCGTATTTAGTGCGAGTCGAGCCAAGCACGAGCCAGATACACACCACTTGGAGGATGCGGACCAGCCACCTGCAAAGGCGACTCCTGCAGAGATGCTCAGGTGCAACTAGCGCCAGCTGGATTCACCGTGGATCAGCTGTTTGCAACAGCCTTTGGATGGCCAAGGGGGCCATGCTAGGGTAGAACTGCAAGGGAATCGCTTCGGGGAACGACGCTTTGCACCAAGGAGGCCTCTGAGCAAGAAGGTCCCAGTGCAGGGTGAGAAGGGCGCAAGCAGTGGCCATGATGATGAGGGGAAGTCTGCCATGGAATGGCAGAAGCAGCAGCTGGCAGAGACATGGCCGAAGTTTTTGACTGGCTCAGCACCGCGCGCCCAGTCACGGGTGCCGCGACGTGGCCCATGCGAGGTCATGGTGTTGTTGGAACACATGTGTTGGGAAGGTGATGGTCCTTGATGGTGAAGAAATGCGGCGAGTTGTCAGTGCTTGGGAGTTTCCAAACCATGGGGCGGGGCTGTCGGGCAGGTTTGGTTGGTTCTTCCCTCTTTCCCAGAGCAGATTCTGTTGCACACTTTCTTGATTTACGTCATGACATGTGGTAGAAACAAGTACTAGTGACGCTTGTGTGCAAAGCCTTTTGGACGCTCTGCTACAAAAAGGCACAAGCAGCCGCCCCTGCAAACCCAAACCCAAACCATCTTGAGGGGTGGTCCCCGGAGATTTCCTTGCAGCTAGGCTGGGCCTTCCAAAAGAAGGCCGTTTGCCCAACCCATCACGAGATGAATGAGTTCGCTTGCAGATTTTCCTTATTGTTTGTTTGCACCAAGGATGGCATTGTTCTCTTGAAGAGGTGGGTCGGTTTTGAGCACACCTGCCTTCAGCTGCGCGTCAGCACCTTGGTCCGAAAGGAGCACTGGAGTGCAAAAACTCAGCCCAAATCGCTGGCACCTGAAAGTTTGATTCCAACAGGGGCCCCAAAGATGGCGTCTAGGCACCCACACTGGCACACCGAAACTTCAACATGTTTTTTGGATTTCTTTGGACGTTTTTGAGAAACGGACTGTCCATGGAGTTTATGATTGTTTCTGGCAGGCAATAAGAAGCTCTCTGACATGAAGTTCACCGTGAACATCGCAAGCTCACTCAATCTGGACGCGGTGTTTCGATCTGTCCTCAAACGATCTGGTGCTTTGTTTCGATTGTGGCATGGTGACCAACAGAGAGTTTCCTCTGGTTTGAAGGTTCACTTTGACACTTTAAGAAGCTGCTTAGGCTAATCTTTTTTTGGTCGGCACAGGCCAGTTTGCATCTCTGCTGGTGGCTGCCACAGGAGTTTGAGAAGCCTCCAGCCGCCAAAGGGAAGACAAGCTGTTGTGTCACTTGATTGCAGTCGTTGGCTGGATGGATGGATGGATGGATGGATGGATAGTTTTCTTCTAGTGTTGAACGGTGAGCAGTGAGGCCATTTTGGCCGGGGCATGACGGCCCTGAAAGTGTGCCGCGCTCCTCAAAAGAATTCGACATCCATATATATAGTCGTCCGCTCTGCCTCAAAGGTGGTTTCTGCCGTGGGCATGGTCATCCTCCTTTTGGTTGGCTCGGTCAGCCTCAGGGAAGAGTTGCCTTGGAACAGGGCCTCAGCACAGGTTGAGAGCCAGTGGTCTGTTCTGTGCTGGGAGTGCTTCCTCGGAAGAAGGTGTCAATGGTGGGGTTCGGCTTGATGGCTGCTCCCTTGCATGGCTTCTTCAGGCACTGGGTCGGTAAGCTTCTTGGTAATAACAAACGGAAGTGCTGAGGGCGGCGGCTGGGACGGCTGTTTGGGCTTCAGCTTGCAAGCCAAGACAGGATTCCTGAAGCCTGGTCTCAATGACCTCAACAGTCAGGCCTTGGCGCACACGGCAGTTGCAAACATCACACTGGTAGCCCCTGCGGTGTTAGATTGATCCACCGATGGCTTTCTTCCTTGGCCAGCTGGAGGCACTGTTGGATGAGATGTTTCTTGTGCTGTTTGGTGTGACGGCCTACCTGTTTGCCAGGTTTCTCATGGATGTAGTGTGTGTGGTCTTTGTACGCCGTGGTCAAGCGGTCGACTGCCTGGTTGTAGTGTGGACCTAGAGGTGGTCGTCATCAATCACCTGCTGCCATTGCTTTTGGTGTTTGACGCAGATTTGGTTGGCATGCTCCCATGCAGTAAACCCTGCATCTCTCTGCCGTCGGCGGAGGTGCGGCTCTGACCCCGGCTGGTCTGGTGTGCGGCTCCGCTTGCTGATGTACAAGGGTGTAATGCGGGCATAGTCAGCATCAGTGAGGTCCTGTGCCAAGTCCTGGTATCCATGCCACTTCTGGCGTTTTGTCCAGCTGGACGATTACTTGGGCCGGTGTTGTCCGATGTTGTGCCAGGATCTTGAGGCCATAGAACAGTGCACGCCGTTTGGTCTGGGGTCCGGGTCCTGGTGGAGGCCTGTGATGGCACCGAGCGGCTTGAGCTCCCCTAAGCTCAAAGTGTGCAGGCAGACCCGGCCCTGTGACCTGACATCGTAGGTGGAAGGGGTGGCATCCACAGTGATGGTGAGCCCTTGATGAAGTTGAAGTGCAATAGGTTCCACTGCCAGAGGCCATGTCCTTGAAGAGAGGGCAGCCCGGTGAGATGTTCATAGACCTCGGCATTGATCCATCCACGTGAGCACAAGGGATCTTCATCGACATTGTTGACCCTCTCAGTCCACTGGAGTGGCATCGGTTTGTGGCCTTTTCCATGGTGCCAAGTGCAAAGCCAGGTGATGTGCTTGGAGGTTGCCGGAACCTTGCACAGAGGGCACAGCTTGACTTGGCCCTTGGACAATTGCCTGGATCCATGCATGGATGCATATATTTATGTTTATATAATTTTATATTATATATATATGTATAAATGTATGTATAGTATAAATGCATGTATTATACTGTATTGTATTTCGTTGTGTTGTACTGTTTTGTATTTTACTGTAGTGTACTGTACTGTATGCATGCATGCATGCATGCATTCATGCATGCCTGTCAAAAGGGCATATATTGTTATATAACTATATATATATTATATATGTAGTAAAGTATTAGTGAGCCGATATCTCCGTAACCTGGCGGAGTGGTTGCTGCCGGACTTCATGCTGATGTTCAAAAGGCATGCAGCTGGCCCCACACCACCAATGAGATACCAGAGGGCTGAACTACCGTATTTTGACACTTAAGTGTGCAGAATATAACCTCACAACGAGATGTTTGATCATCCAAGTAAGGTGAACATCAAGTGCCCAGAACTTCAGTCTTTGGCCTGCATTAGTCAGGGTTTGCAGCAATGTTGGTCATGTCCAGGTCACGGCCATGTCTGCGACTGAGACTGACATTTGCTACCTGCAGCAGGCTCTGATGGGCTCGCTTGCACGAAGGCTGCATTTAAAACGTGGCCACGCTTTCCATATTCCTATCACTAGGATTCACTTGGCATTTTTGTAGCCTGAGTCTTTTTATCACTTGGCAGGAACCTCCAGCACTTGCGTGGCAATAGAAACGGGAATGAAAGCAGAGCTAAACGGTTGGGAGGCCTTACATTTTTTGCAGACCACATGCCGTTGCACCCAATTGTTAAATATGTGTCTTCGTGTGACTGCATGTAGCGCTTCGAGCACTTATTGTAGCTCTAGCTTTGTATCACGGTGTTTTGAAGTTTGTTGCTTTTGTTTATATACACACTGCGTATAGGGTGTGTGTGTGTGCTTGCCCTGCCGGTGCCTTGAGGCAAAATCCAAGCACATAAACAATGCTCGAGTGAAAACAACATGGCATTGCCGGGGTTCGAAACTGGATGCTGGAGACATGGCTTCCGGGTTCATGGCAACGCAACTTCGGAAGAGAAATGTGATAGCTAGGCTTCCTCTTTCAGTCTTTCGGAAGAACAGCTGCATATACTGCAATAGCAATAGTACTAATATTACTTGTAGAGTCTATATAAGATAAACATGCAAAAAATATGTACATGCATATATATATATTTTACACACATCCTAATGCCCAGCAACTTGCTCTCAACTACAGCCAATCAAGAGTTGACTCAGAGTTGACCAAATACCTAGAGCTTGCTTCTATGAGTGAGCACCCGCAATCGAGCGGTGCACTTGGGTATAGATGTAGCTGTGTAGCTTGTGTAAACTGAACCCATGGCCCCGCATACAGGTGGAGCACGGCAAAGCAGCAAAGAAGCTTGGCATTAACTTTGTGACTCTATAAGGTATGCTTGTGTTATCTTCACCCAAGTGGCAGAGTCAGGACCGGTTCCGTTGAATTGTTCTTACACTGCGTCAGCCTGGGCCCACTCTCAGATAGTCATTACTCCGCATCTCTATTTCTTTAAGAGATAAGGTTCCAGTAGACTGCCTGTTTTCAGGTTGATTAGAAGGGACTTAGCAAATTGAAGTCATTCTTGAATGGAGAACACCGTGCAAGCTACCAAATCAAGTCAGCGACTCAGCAGATAATGGTCATCTTCCAAACACACTCATGCCGTGATCTGGTTATGATCTAGCAGTCTAGTCAGTCTCGTTTTGGGTTTCGATCACAGATCACATCGCCATGAGACCTCATTCTATTTGATGAGGCTCAGCCTGGCATTTAGCTGGGAACCCCTACCCTTGGACCGCAAACAGCTACAAGCGCTCAACGAAGAAGATGAGCGCAGGTGCGAATCATCAAGGAAGAGTTGGGGAGTTCCAGTCATGCTGATTCATCTGTAGTATAGAGTATCATGCGGACACCCCCATTGGCAAACAAGATAAGTCGAGGTGGCAGACCCCGAGGCAGAGTACACATGCCAAATGAAGTGCCAAAGGAAAATCCTGGTGGAAGTCCTGGTGGATGATGGTGGATGTTCAGATCACTGAGGAAGAACTAGAGCCATCTTCCATCCCCTAATGTTGTTTGGACTGGGACTACCTGGATGTTGATCCTGCAAGACTCGGGCTGACTGTTCTGTTCTGTCAGCGAGTCAATGCACAGAAGCCCAAGACTCGTATCATCTATCTCTACCCTAGTTGGTCATCCTGAGCTGCAAGTTTGGCTTTCCATGAATGTTTTAATACTCAAGGGTGACCAGGAACCACAGTTCCCCAATTTCGTACGGTTGAAGCTTGCAACAAGCCGCGCTGGCAATCAATGTCAATAAAGATGCAATTAGAGAAGCGATTTCGAATCACTTCACGGCAGTTTGCCACCTTCTTGCACCATTACTATACTTGTTTGGAAGCCACGCTGCTAAGTGATAGGATGCTGCAGGGTGACTATCATCACTTGCCCTTGTGCAGGCAGCGTGATATTGTTACGCGCCTGAAGCAGAAAGGCATCACAACGTCACAGATAAGATCAGCAGCCAAGATCCAGGACTTACAGCAACAGACAGTCAACAGACAGAATGTCAACAGACAGCTTATTCGTTGTTTTTGATGAGGAAGAGTCTTTTGGAGCTATTGTGTTTTTGCTTGCTGTGGGCTGTGGGTGGATTGATTTCTTTTAGCTTCTTTGCTGCTTTGTGGCAGGGAGAAGGCCTTTCCAAGGAGATACTCAGCCTTTTGAGTAGACTTTGCACTAAGCTTGAATCAGCATCACTGTAACACAGCAACCAGGTAACGCCAAATAAGTGGGCCCAGCCAAAAGCGCAGCACCACGGAGTTTGAGTGATTCACCTGATGCTGAAAGCATGTCAGGATGCTTGCAAAGCCCACGGCTTCCCCAGGAGACTTGACTGGAAAAAGGATAAAGACTCTCTCACTGTTGAGCTGGAATTACTGTATACACACGTACATTCTATTTGCATCTACATGTATTGCGTCAGGCGTTGCGGAAGCCTTCATAGAGCCTTCAGCTTTCTTACTATTACTTACTACCCCTAATTTTCAGGGTGGGTCTTGGATCTTGGGTCCTGACCTTGGGCACTACCTCTCACGGAAACAAGAACACGTTCTGCACGGTATTTGCGCTCCCAGCGACGTTCGACGTGGCACGGCACGGCACGAGACCAGGTTTGTGGATGCTGAGTTCATGCCGACGGACAGCTCCCTTTTCGAGGATCCCACGCATCAGAATCATCCACCGGTGATTTGGAAACGCCCAGAGGACTTCTGCAAAGGCAGCGTCAGGCAGGGCCCGGTGCACTGGGCGCGCGACCCCACAAGGCCGCCGCAAGCCACCAGGGCCACAAGCCATCACAAGCTTCGTTGGGTAACTCAGTCATAGCCTTTGAAGTCATCAAATTTTCCGGATCGACCATCTTCAACCATGAGCCCCACAGGATCTTCTCCGATGACATCGCTCCATCGGATATTAAGCAGGGTGCTTTGGGCGACTGCTGGTTCCTCGCAGCCTTGGCAGCCATGGCAGAGGAACCCGATTTGGTGCATCGCGTCTTTGCCCCATGGCTGGGAAGATGAGGGAGAGGGGGCAGCCGTTGCATTTCGACAAGACTGATATCGGTGAGAATGAGCGACCTGAATTCTTGAGTTTCCTGAGTAGGTTGTGTGCTTGAGAAATCGCGGACTGTTGAGATTTCAGATTCCTTATTATGATTGTCTCTTCAGTTGAAGTTGGCTTTGCCTAAAGCAGACGCAACTCAGAATGTTTAGAAGTTATATAAGGCCAACAATGGAGAAGCGAACGAGCAGGGTGTCTACGAGATCAGCTGCTTCAAGAACGGGCGGCCCACAACGAGGCTTTTTCAGATTGGCAATGTTGATAGCTTTTTTGGCTTTTGGGCCGTTCTCACTCCCTTCAAGAACGTCCAAGTTTTTAGATCGGTGCCAGAGCAACTTGTTTTGACCGTTCGACGGGGGAGGTCGGTCAATCGACTTCTGACATGGAAGCTTAGCAGCTTAGCCTATGCCTCCAAATTGAGGCTCCCCCAACCCTAAATACATCAAGTCGCACTTTTCGCACAAGGCCCAAGTCCTCGATGCAGCTGAGGATCGTCGTGGATGACTTCCTCCCCTGCTCACCCAACACAGGAAAGCCATGCTATGCCCACGTTGATTTGCAAGGTGCGCGGAGCACTCTGACTGGCTCAGCCGACCACAGGACACGGAGAAGAGATCTCGCTTAGGACAGAGACCGGTCACGAAACACATATTGCTTGATACTGCGCTAAAAAGAAAACAATAGAAACGATATGACAAGATAATAATGTAAGTGTAACCAATTGAATAGTGTAACCAAAAGAAAACGATAGAAATGATAGTAACTTGTCCAATCGAAATGCCTCAAATCAGCCAGACCTACGAATTTCAGGTGGCCATGTTGATCCATTTGGACTGGGCTCCAGCGGAGCTGTGGGTCCAGTCCTTGGTTCCTCCGGTCCATGTTTCCTCTGCATTGTGGCGACATAATGGGACCGAGCTTCGGCACAAACTGAAGGACTTAGAAGCCTCAGCCTACATCTCTGAGCAGTTTTTTCATTTTTGTGGGTGCCGTGCTCCATTGGTGGATCTGGGGATTATAAGATATTATAAGGGTTGCCCAATAAATATTCGTACAAGGTGCTTAGCAGGCAGCACAAAGGAAGTGCCGTAATTAGTGCTGTTGTGTGTCGTCATTTTAACATGAGCCTTCAGAGAGGCGTTGATCAAATCCGGCTGCATGATCGAGCCAGCGATGCTGGCAGGCCGCAATGCCAATGAGCTTTGGGTGATGCTGCTGGAGAAAGCATGGGCAACTTGTTCCTTATTGAAACATCACGACCTGAAAGGCATAGCAACGGCAAGTGAGCAGGAGGCATTTGGGGTTAGGGTTAGGAGTTGGGAGTTCTCCACCAGCAAGGCTTTCCCACTGGAGCATGAGGAGGTTCTCCGGAAGTAGGCTTGGCATCACAAGCTTGAGCTTCCACTTTGTGATGGAGGAGCATTAAGCAAGGGAATACCATGATGCCTGATGGGCCTGAACCAATTTGCCCACTGGTCTCAGGGCAAAGGTTTTGTGATTGCTGGGCACATGGTGGGGTGCCACGAGTCAATGGGGTTGATCGAACACATTCATAATTCTGCTATTGGTTGAATTTGGGTTGCATCATATTATACACTGTATAAGTTGGTTCCTTTCCTTTGCTTACATTTGGTTTCAAGAAATGGGACCTGATTTCAATAGCTGTTTGCCCTAGCCTGCATTTCCTTGGAACCTGCAAAACCGCAACCACAAAGAACAACACACCTTATTATGATGAACTGGCTTCTTGTGAAGTACAGTGGCCCAAGTGCACATGGATTGCTTAACCATGTGATTGGGAATGATTTCGGCTTCCCACCTCAATGATTCCCACCTTGCCTTGAGGCAAAGCTACATGGCAGCTACGAGAGGATCGAAAGTGGCATGCCGTATCTCGGGAAACATGAGAATGGTAGCTTTTCTCAGTGGTTGGACTGCATCATCAGATACCGACTTGGGGTTCCCAAGAAGCCATTTCTCTGTGAAATTGCAACCACTCCCCAAACTGGTCAAAGAGATTCATTCTAAAAGGAGCTACCGACCCCTAAAGTTAAAGTGGATCATGTGTAGCTTTGGCACTAGGGGCTCCTGGCATCGCTACTAGGAACAAGAAGCTACTAGGGGCTCCTGGCCTTACAACTAGGAGCGATCAGACGCTACTACTAACAAAGGGCATCGCTACGAACGGAGCGATCGGACGCGAACCGAACGGGGCGATCGCCCTGGCCGATGTACCGCTCCGGATGTGCCGCTCCGGATGGCCCTTTTGAGGTACCGCGCCTTGATGGATTTGCTGGGGGCAGCTGGAAAAGAGCCCCTTCGAGACCAGAACGGTTCGATGGAACAAGTGGAACAAGAACGGTGAAGAGTGTCCGTTGAAAGATCTCAAAGGATGCTTGGGTCATGTTTTGCCAGAGTTTCTCAGGAACATAGCTGGTTCGTTCACCTTGTTTGTTCAGCTTCTCGTTGATCGAATTGGCTGTTTGAAAAAGACTCAGGTACCACCTCGAAACGGAGAAAAAACCAGATGGCCTGGTCTCCAAGGACAAGTTCTTTTCGATGCTGTGACATGGCATCCACTTCAGAGCCACATGCGGACACACACACACATGCAAACACACACGCACATACACTTTTGCAATCCTTTGCGACCTTTAAGCCCAGACTTCGTGGACTTTGGACGTTGCTTCATCCAATCAATCCTTTGTGACTGCCTTCCTTTGTAGGGTCCTGGAACACATGGTTGGTTCAAGGTGCAGATACGATGAAGCGGGCTACTTGATGGTGGCTGGCACTCCAGGTTCTGATACTTTTACAAAAGGTGACTTGTCACAGCATGTGCGTTTGCAAAAGAGTTGAATGTAACAAGCATACGTCAACATGACACCTATCCTAGACCGTTGCAACTAGCTTTGTGTGAAGAAGATCAACCATTGTGCAGACTGGTGCTTCAATATAATGACGGCAAACAAGGCAGGCACCGTTTCTTTTTGGCTTGACTTTGACCGGGTTCCGTTTGAGGTGACAAGTCCAAGACGCCTTTGTCTGGGCTGATCCCGGGTCATGCCTACACACTCCTTTCAGCACACGAAGCGAAAGGAGTAAGGCTGCTGAAGCTGCGAAACCCTTGGGGGGATCACGAGTGGACAGGCGATTGGAGCGACAAGAGCAGCTCGGCGAGCCAGCAGCTCATAGGGTTCTTGCAAAAGTTGCCTCTTGACAGCGTGTGTTTTTCCAACTTGTTCTGAAAATGATGATGAGTAGGAGGAGTACTGGACAGAATGTTGTATACTTCATTAGTTCTATTTTTTGCTGAATTTTGATGAACTTTGATTATGTGCTTGGTTAGGAACGAGTATTCAACTTACGGCATTCCTTGTTTCATGTCATGAATGTTGTTTCCATCGAGCCACCCATCGTTTCGAGGTAGTCTTTGGACCCAACCCATGAAAGATGCTTTCCATCCCAGCTTCGATGCCAACGATGGCGAGTTCTGGATGTGCGAAAGAGACTTTCTGCGCCTTGGGCGAAACCCATTTCGATTCGATACTACAAAGTTATAATGTGTTTTTCTACTATTGACAATAGTTTTTATGTATATTTATAGACATTGTGCACCACCATCTAAACCAGTTGAAACACCGTATGTAAATGCACATGAGATGTTTTCCCAATCCCAGTTGCTGGGGTTTTCTCAAAATAGCAGAGGACTGGGGACCCTGAGCACAGCGGTGCTTCACGTTTCACCACCTTCGGTTTTGCGGTCACTCATGTCCTGAGTGTCCTCCCATGTCCTCCCTCAATCCGAGAAAAAACACAAAACTGTTTCCGGACAACGTCCGCCGCACCGCGCCTCCTGGGCGACCAGCCGAGGAGTCACTTCTCTTCGGTGGGTGTTTGCTTCATCAGCGACTCCTGGGCAACCAGCCGAACGGCCTTGTCCAGCGATGTCACCGATTTGACGCTTCGCAGCGGAGGGACGGAGACAGAGTGACCGCTAAATACACCCGGTGAGTGACCTGGAGGGACCCGGAGGGACGGCAGTCAGTCCTCTACACGGCCACCGTTTTGGTGCCAAACGCAGTTTGGGGATGGGAGGTTGTGCCCAACGGTGCCACGAGAGTTTGGGGACCATTTCGTTTTCAAAAATGCAGTTCCCTGATGATCTGGGGCGGAACATTTTCAGGACGCCAGAGGATGGTGACGTATGGTAAAATGCAAGTGGCCACAACTGCGCAGTCAAGGTGCAGCCAGCTGGTATGCATCAAGACAGTTGCCCCCATCAAGAAGGGCTTCATCAGCTTGATTCAGGAGGACACACGGATCAAAGGCCTGCTGAAACAGCTGCTTTCCACGGGGAGGGGTCAAGTTTTCTTGGTGGAGCTTTGTTGCGCCAAAGTGGTATGAATTAGAATTAGGCCAATGTTGTCAGAGCATGTCAGAGCGCCTTGACTTGTTCTCCCACCCATCATCAGGAACACGTTTGATCAGCGTGTACGGTTCGCAACAGTTCCCAACTTTTTTTGTGCATCAAAACCTTTGCTGTAGTGTGTCGCTGAACCAGTTTGAACTCAGCAAGAGCGGCACGACCATGATTGTGCAAAGTTGTCTTAAACTATCTTAAACTTTAGACTCTTCCAGAGTCTAGAGGTACTATAGATGAAACCATTGCCTATCTATGGTCTATCAGCCCACGTCTTTGAAATCCGCACACCTGTATGACAGGCGGAATCTACGTTTACATTTATGATATGTGATTCTGGCCTAGGCAAAACGGAGACAATGATCACACAGCCACACTGGGACTGGGAAGCTCTTTTGCTTGACAGATGTTGCACAATGCCACAATGCTCTTTGTCCTTGCTCTCAGGCGCACCTTCCTACACTCAGCCACCTGGATTAGAAGGACATCACAGCCAGCCAAGTGAGACTTGAGATTTGACTTCAAATGTGCGCCTACCTAAGTGTATAAGTATAGACTCACACAATTTCACAGGCAAGAATGATTGTTGTCGTGTATGGTAAATATATGTATATAAATATTCTAGCTTCATGTCACCAGGCAGCAGAAGACCCGGACAAGAAGAGGACGTGACACAACCAGACAAGCTGCTGATTGTTTGGGAAAGCAAGACACCAGGAGGACAACCCTGGGACAACCGGAGGACAACACCCGGACGGGTTTGCTGGCACGGTGATGGACTGTGGAGCCACGAGGAGCCAAAAAAACTTCGCGGCAGAACCCTATTTTAGATCCGCAGATCGGTCCGTGACGCTTGCGTGACGCTTGCGTGACGCTCCGAGGCTTTCGTTTGCTCTCTATGGGCCTGTGGTTGATGGGAAGCCGAAAGCAGAGGTGCTCCGTAGCCACTTGTGGCCTGTGCGAGAGCTGGTCGAGGAGGGGCCCTAAGAGTGTGAATGATACTGAGACCCGCTCGTCAGACAGATGCAGGGGTTCCAGATCAATCAGATTGGCTGTGCACACTGACACAAGAGCACCTGGGAGGAAATCCCGCATGAGAAGCCCCTACCTGCCGGCGCTGCTTGCTTGCACCTGCTGTTTGGAACGTTTGCCCTGCGAGGGGTCGATATTTTGCACTTGACTCAGACTCGCTGTGGAAGTATGTGGAAGTAATGTCACTCGTCATAGTCATAGGTTGCATTTGCGGAACCCGAGCAATCCTGAAGTCGTCGCTCAAGCGACGCAATGCGCAACAATTGAGGAATATTGGGTGGCGGTCTTCACACCAGACAAGGCACCAAAACATGACGCGTGTGCCAAACGTGCACCAACCAGTTTAGGTAAAATACAATAAATTACGCAGTTTGCGCATGTTAGCGAATTTCAACTGCTTGCCGTGAACGGATTTCAATCTTGCGCATGCACCTACAGGACTGTTTGATGCATTTGGCTGGCTATGCCCCACGTTTCTGCGTCTTCTTGTTACGAGGGTGTGTTGCTTGATTGCCATGTTGTATATTTGGCATGCGTTTTACTCCGGGGGTTAATGATCATCACGTGATGTGAATGATGATATTCCAACAGCTGCACCAATTATGTATGCTGTGAGGTGTGCAAACGCACATGCCCCTTCCCCTCTATTGTCAGTGCTCCTACAGACAGGCAGCACTGACAGTCGCTGTTTGCTACTAGCCCTCCGAAGGACAGGTTTGCTGTTTCCGTGCGATAGTTTTTTCAGAGATTTGATTGTTCTTGGTGCCGTTCTGGCTGCCCAGGGCGCAGGGCGCTAGTGACTCGTCCCACGTGTTGCCACTGTTTCATTGGTGCTCCCCCTTTCAACAAGTTTAAAATCCCACATTTCAAAAAAAGTACTTTCATTCCACTCCTGAACCTTCAAGTCTTGGGGGGATATGGTTTTTCAATGCGGGTATCCCCTCAACACTTTCTACCGGTCGGTCATGTGCGGGACACCTCGGTCGAAAGGTCCCAGATCGCCCCTTGACGCTGGTGCTGCAGCTTGATGCGCAGCATAGCCAGGCCAGCCAGCCTCGCTTGGTGGATAGCCCGGATGAAAAAAATGCATATATGGTTTTCATCCGGGCTATCCATGGACTTCTGTTTGACAAAGCCCAAGCCACCAGCCAATGCGGCATGTACAATGATCGATATTGTATGGTGGATGGACAGTAGATGGCCCGATTCCGATCGAGAAAAGGGTGCTTTTATATGCTTTTATTATACTGGGTGGACGTTTGAGGGATTTTTTATTTTTTTGTATTTCTGCAA